TCATAAAAGTATTTTCCGAGTAAGTTGTTAGCTCGGGAACTGAAAAGTTAGAATACTGGAATTTTAAGGAGATTTTTCCCATCCATTTAAGTCGTAATGAATTTAAACCCAGTCTTCGGATAAGCGTGGTTCCTACGTACGGGCCCGTGCAAGTTTCCTTCGGTAAGTTGCTAACTCGGTAACCTAAAAAGCTAGAAAGCTGGAATTTTAAGCGGATGCTCCCCGTCCAACTAGGTCCTAATGAGTTCAAACTTAGCTCCCGGGTATGCGTGGTTCCTACGTACGAGCAGCCCGTGAAAGTTTTTTGTGGGTAAGTTACTAACTCGGGAGTCAGAAAAGCTAGAAAGCTGAAATTTTAAAGAGATGCTTCCTGACAGCCCTGGCATCTAGTCTCAATTCGTTTAGCTAGAAGCATCTGCCGGAAAAAACAGTGCCGTTAGTGACAAAAATTGGCGGGGAACTGTACATAAAACGCATCTTCGCACCGGCAGTTGGTGCGCTGGCCATTTATTTTTTGTGAATAGGCGTAATCAGAGGATCACACACCACCGACAAATGATTCAGTATTTCCGGGCCGAATGCATCACTGCATCCTAGGAACTAGTTCAAGAGCCACTAAGCTGATTTACTCAGATTTTTTTAAGAGGACTAAAAAATTTCTTACCTCGTTGCAAGGGCTTTTGGCCTACTCGTTGTACTTACTGCAGTTTATTTACAAGAAATCTGAGACTTCTAATCTGTGGCACTTGTTTGTAATTCCATATTCCAGCGGCACCGTGATTCGGGAGGCAGAAAGTACAAAAAGTGCATAAAATTACAGAAAAGGAACCGACGGTCCTCCTTTTTCGCTGATAGCTTTGGCAGAAGTCTCCTTCCTATGTCTCTCAGTGTTGCAAATCCACCGATGCTATATATTTGTCTGTCATGATTTGCTAATCATGAGAGACAAAATGGAGTTCGGCCTCCGCCAAAAGAAGTTATAAAAAACCGAATGGGTCAAAACCTTACATGGCTAGCCTGGCAGCTGTAATTTCATCTACATGAAAGGTTAGATTTCTACAATAGCAAGTAGGACGGCCTCGTCAGGGAATCCAAACGACGGATTTTTGAGACGAAATTTGGACTGGCAAAGGTGGACATCGCAGCTCAAAGCTCAGAATTTGGCCTGAAAGTCAGCTTCAGCTGAAGACTCTGTTTACAAAAATATCGCAATTCCGGGGCTGAAATAAAATGCGCGGACAGATAGACCGAACGAACACACCTTTGTGATTGTGCGTCTAATGGGTTTTGCATCAATGATACAGCGCAAAATCACATAAAAGCATTTGTGCTTTACCCAGGCCTTCGTGACCAATTTATTATGCATCGTTTGCTCACTTAAAGAAAAGGCGTCGCCGATAATCAAAAAGTTTTGAGACGGAACTTGCCTAATGACTGAATAGACAAATGAATGAATGGATGACTTTCTGTGCAGGACAAAAGAGGAACAGTAAAAAATACCGATGTGCATGTGTGCAAATGACCTTGACAGAAGTGATTGGTAGCGCGAAAATTTCCCGCACTGTTGCACTGCACAGTTT